AAAAAAAAAAAAAAAAAAAAAAAAAAAAGAGCCTGTTTCCTATTAGTGGGGAGTGGATAATGGTGTTTAGAACCCAATCACTGTATGCTAGGTGTGCTAATTCCTACTGGGATGTCACCACTTATATATTGTTCAGTGGCCCAAGCTAGAAAATGTGTGTGCACACACATAAACACAGATGTAGGGTGTGTGAGCACACATGTGTGCATGTGTATAAATCTGTGGGTGTATTTGTATTAAAACCATAAATTTATATTGATATACCCAATTCCAATCTAAAACTACAGGAAAAGAAAAAAAAAACTGGGAAAGAACAGATAGGATATGGCAAAACAAACAGCAAGAGAGTAGGCTATACTCTAATGAATTTTGTTAAAAGTAATTGGCGTAAATTTTGCAAATGAAGTTAGAGATTGTCAGATTGGGTGGAAAAATTGAAGGCTATCTGCAAGAAATGTCCTTTAAATAAAATACATGAATGGATTAAAATGAAAGACATGAATAGATTAAAATAAAGGAATGAAAAGTTCTTTTTTTTCTTTTTTTGTGAGGAAGATCAGCCCTGAGCTAACATCTGTTGCCAATCCTTTTCTTTTTGCTGAGGAAGATGGGCCCTGCGCTAACATCCGTGCCCATCTTCCTCTACTTTACATGGGACGCCGCCACAGCATGGATTGACAAGCGGTGCGTCAGTGCATGCCCAGGATCCGAACTGGCAAACCCCTTGGTGATACTTCCTTTAATCTTAAAAGGGACTTCTGTTGTATTATTTAAGTTTCGATTTATTTGTGCTAGAAACTGCAAAGTAGAAAAAGATAATACATAAAATTCAAGTTTCTTCAGAGATTACTAGCATTTCTAAATGTAACCATTTTAAAATATAATTTGATTATGATACTTAATAAATGCTAATGACTGATGCTTTTAGTTTTGAAGTTGATTTATAGTCCTTGATTTTATTTAAATTTGACTATGATTAATTCTGTCATACATTCCTACATTGAAGAAAGACAGCAATATACTTATATATGTGTATATAGTCTTGAGACATGCATGATACAATCCGTTTATACGAAAGAGTACATACATTTTAAAAATTATGGCCATCGACTTTTAAGAGTTTGGAATTTCTAATAATTACTTTCTTTCTGAATACTTTGCTGTAGGTCACTTATGCCATCAAAATTGACGGGAAAACATACACTTTCCATCTCGAGAAACAGTAAGTGGCCATTCTTCTTTTCATGCAGTTGTTTTTAGTTTCATAATTTTTACAATCACTACACTAAATTAAGCCTAAACAAAAGCATGAATATTGTATTTATTCACCGTGTTATATCTACTTTGTGATTCCTGTCAGACTAGAATTTCAAGTATTCATCTTGAGATTTTAAATGTAATATTCCAGCCAAATTCTAATTTAATGATGTAAATATTAGTGTATATCAGATAAATGAAAATTACTCTATGTAACTCCTTAAAATATAACCACGTTTGCAACAATTAAGGGAACCATTTTATTTGTCCATGTTTAGTTTTATTTGTCTTCATGTCATTTTACATATTTATGTGATTTTAAGCATTTTACTTGATTATTACACCATAATTTTTTATCATTTTGCTATAACATATATTTTTAATCTCTTAAATTTTCTAGTTTTTGCTTTTGCTCTGTGAGGAAACCAATATCAATAACCTTGTGTATATATTTCCATAATTTTGTACTCTAAATTTCACCTTTCCCTTAAATAAAACAAAGAGAAACCTAGCAAAAAAGTTTGTTTTTATTCTAATGGAAATAGTGTTTTGCAACTGGCAGGACTTATTTGACAGTGGTGTTCATTTCTTGCTCTAATTATATATCTTAACTTATTCTTTAATAGATAACATTCCATAGTAAGTAATATTGATAGGCATTAAGGTTCTCTCCAGGGATTGTCACTATAGAGTCCCGCAATAAACATCCTTGTCTGTATATTCTTATGTAATAGAGATTTCGTTTTGTAGGCTTGATATCAAGAAACAGGTTTCTGGATCAAGAAGTGTGAATAATAATAGTGAAGATAATAATAATAACACAAACAACAAAAGTAACTGACTTTTATTGAACACATAGCATTGGCCAGGCATATTTCTAAGCAATTTGCACGTAGTAACTGATTTAATTTTCACAACCGCCTCTAAGGTAGGCATTCTTCATTATCTCCAGTTTACAGTGTGTTAAGATTTTGGGCAATATTGCCAGTTATATTCTGAAAAGACAGTAGCAATTTAGATTTCCAAAAGCATGCATGATGTGTTAAAATATTATATTTCATCTTAACGTCAGTTCATACTTCCTTAATTTCTCTAAACATTCATCAGCTATTTGTATTTTCCTGTATGAGGCTTGCCTATTCATATAGTTTTCCCGTTATCTATTATTATTATTTTAATATACTTTCCTTTTCAGAGCAGTTTTAGATTCACAGCAAAATTGAGTGGAAGATGCAGAGATTTCCCGTATGCTTCCTGTCCCCACACGTGCACAGCCTCCCTGCTTCTCAACATCCCCCACCAGAGTGATATATTTGTTATAATTGATGCTCCTACATTGACACATAATTATTACCCAAAGTCCCTGGTTTATAGTAGCCCAATATTTTTTATATTGGATTTTTTCTTTAGAATGATTAAAAATAAAAAAGGAAATTTCTGAAAATAGTATAAATTACGTTCTTATTGTGAATGACATACATGTAAGCATTTTGCCTACATATATTTTTTTATAGAAGCGTACATGGCAGGTAATAATGAAATCTGTTACTCCCATGTGCAGACCTATTCAATTCTCTCACTCTCCAGTGCTAATCACAATTATGATATTGACACATATTCTTCTGTCATATTTTTCTCTTCATTCATCCATATTCCTAGAGATCAATAAAAATCATACTGTTTGAGCATTACTTTAAATAGACATAAATGACACAGTATTGTAAATTCCATTATACATTTGTTTATCTTAATGTGGTGGACCACAAAAGTGACCCCAACCTTTCCCTTTCCCTGTATCTTCACTCTGCCATATAACTTTGAATTCCTATCATCAAGAGTGGAGTGTATACATCTGCTCCAACCTCCCCACTCCCCAGCCATTGGGTCTCAGTTTATCTATGCAAGGCCAACTTCATGGGTGTGTGGTTCTGCAGGGCCCCACGGTTAGAAGGGCCCTGTACTTGGTTTAATGCTCTATGGACAGTACCACATACTAAAGCATAATATTTCTGAACAACAGGCTTCACATTTTCATTTTACCTTGGGCCCTGCAAATTACATAGCTATGTGACCTCTGTGGCTATATGATTTACTTTGACCAAAGAGATATTAGCTGACTTGATTCAAACAGAGGCCTGAAAAAGCTCTCATGCTTTTCTGTTTTCCATCTTGTTTGTCTGCCATCCCCATGAGAATATGCTTGGGCTAGCTTGATGGAAGATAGAGACACATGGAGCACAGCCAGGTGCCCTGATCATCCCTAGAGCAGCCAACATTCAACTGAATGCTGGACCATTGAGTGAGCCTGGCCCCAATTAGCAGAACTACCATGGCTATCCAAACAAGACCCAGAAATGTGAGCAGTAGATACTTATTATTTTATTGTATTTGGTTGTGGTTTTGTGGTTGTTTCTCATGCAACATTTTGCATAATATAGTTTAAAATGCATTCATATTGATGTGTGCAAAATGAGTTCATTAATGTTAAACGCATATTTAGCTGTCAAAGGAATATATCTCATTTATCCACCCATATTTATAGCAAGAAAAGCTGTTTTGTGCATCTCCTTGGTCACGACTTTCTGGGCACCAGTAAATTGATGGGCTATAAATAAGAAAATTCTCAAGTGTGCTATGTACTGCCAGTTTGTTTCTTCAAAGAGTTTATACCAATTTTCACTCACATCAACAACTCAAAGATGTTTCTGTTCTCTACATTCTTGACAAAATGAGTATCTTCAGTCACTTATTTTTGTTAATTAATGGATAAGAAATGCTATTTTCTTGTTGTTTTAATATGCACTTCACTTGTTAATAACATGTAGTGTCTTTTCAAATGTTTACTGACCTTTCAATTGTTTTCTAATTGAATTGCCTCTCCTTAGCTTTTATTTTTTCTTTCAGGTTTTTATTTTCATCTATTTGTTTTGAGTTATTTATTTTAATCTATGGCTTATCTTTCTGTTTTTATTTCTTTTTCTTTTTCAATTTGTGGGAGTTTTTGTTTACCGTACATATTAACCCTTAATCTGTTCTATGTGTTGCAAATATGCCATCCAGCCTATTGATCATCTTCTTCCTTTGTTAGTGGGATTTATTGTTATAAAAATTAAATTTTTATGTAATCGTTATCTTCATATTTTCTTTTATAGGTTCTCAGGTTCCTTTCTTGTGTCTCAGATTCTGAATTTATTTCATAATATTCCTATAGTATTTTTTAAAATTATTTTTACATTTAAGATGTAAATTCAATGCTTTCAGTTTCTTTACTTAACAACTATATTGCATTTTGCAAGTTTTATCACTGCTTCCTTTTTATTTTATTGCAATTTTATGCTGACTCAGGTATTGTTTAGTTAGAACACTCAGATTATTTTCTTTGGATAGAATATGCAGATGGCATGCTTTCTGAATCTGTGCATATCTGAAAATGTCCTTTTTGTTCTTATAGTTGAATAACATCTTGGCAATGTATATAATTTGTGAGTCATATTCCTTTACTATAAATTTTTATAATTTGATATAGTCCTTCTTAATTGAATTTTCCAGTACATTTTGTGTGTGTGTGCAAGTGTGTGGTGTTACACTAATCCTCCCTGATATATCAAAAGTCCTTTAATTTTTCATTTTAGTATTAAATTCCTACACATTTTTTAATTCTATGGGAAATCTATGATTTCATCCTTATGGTTCTGCCCTTTATATCATAGTTTTTCTATAACTATTTCCAAATCTTTATTTTTCTGTATATTTTACCAGTATTTTTTCTCTTTATTGCCTAGGCCTCTAATTTTGTTCTCAGTAACCAAATTGTCTTTGACACATTTATTGAATTATTTAATTTTAACTGTCATGTGTTTTAGTTTGAGTGTCCTTTTGTTCTTGATCTCCTTATTAACTTTTCTTAAAATTATGATTATTTTCTTCAATCAGTGCTACTTCATTAGGATCTAACTTTTAAGTTTGCCTTCTGCCTTTTTATTGTTCATTTTTTTTACATGGGATGTTGTTTTTCTTTGAATGGTGATTCATATTTTTATTATTTCACTGATTAAGCCAGACTGTTTCAGTGTTTTGTATAGAAGCAGATAGTATACTTTTGAGGTCCCAGGGAAAATAAACTTGCAAACTAAAGTTTTATCCTTTTTATTATGCTTGTCAGATATCTATTAAGTTTTTTAAGTCTAATTTCTTTTTCCTGGGAACTGCTTCCAGATTCCTATTTCCACCACTTCCATTTAACATGCTTACAGTTATTAAAATGTGTCTCTGCCCTTGTGCTAGAATTTAGGTTCCAGGCACTTGCACCTAAACTAACCCAGGCCATTCAGAGTTTTTCCTTGAATATATGTGGAATATAAACTGATAAATATCAGTTTTTCTCTGGGAAGCTCTCTAGTTTTCTTATTTGAATTGAGGAAAAGGAAAAGTTGTCAGGAATGAGAGAAAATGAAGCATACCTCAGAGATGTTGTGGGTTCAGTTCTAGACCTCTGCAATAAAGCATATATCTCAATAAAGTGAGTCACGCAAATTTTTTGGTTTCCCAAAGCATATAAAAGTTATATTTACACTATACTATAGTTTATTAAGTGTGAAATAGCATCATATCTAAAAAAGAAAACAATGTACATACATTAATTAAAAAGTACTTGAAGCTAAAAAATGCTAACCATCATCTGAACCTTCAGTGAGTCATAATCTTTTTGTTGGTCGAGGGTCTTGCCTTGATGTTGATGGCTGCTGACTGATCAGGGTGGTGGTTGCTAAGGTTTGGATGGCTGTGACAGTTTCTTAAAATCAGACAACAGTGAAGTTTGACACATCAATTGACTCTTCCTTTCATGAATGATTTCTCTGTAGCATGTGATGCTGTTGATAGCATTTTACCTACAGTAGAACTTCTTTCAAAAATGGAGCCAATCTTTTCAAACCCTGCCAGTGCTTTATCAACTAATTTTTGTAATATTCTACATCCTTTGTTGTCATTTCGACAGTCTTCACAGCATCTTCACCAGAAGTAGATTCCATCTCAAGAGACGACTTTCTTTGTTCACCCATAAGAAGCAACTCCTCATTCATTAGAGTTATATCATGAGATTGCAGCAGTTCAGTCACATCTTCAGGCTTCACTTCTAGTTCTAGTTCTCTTGCTGTTACCACTGCATCTGCGGTTACTTCCTCCACTGAAGTCTTGAACCCCTTAATGTTATCCATGAGGATTGGAATCAACTTCTTCCAAACTCCTGTTATTGCTGATATTTTGACCTCTTCCCATGAATCATGAAGGTTCTTAATGGCATCTAGAACGGAGAACCCATTTTGGAATGTTTTCAATTTACTTTGCCCAGATCCTTCAAAGGAATCACTATTTATGACAGCTATAGCGTTATTAAATGTATTTCTTAAATAATAAGACTTAAAAGTCAAAATTACTCCTTGATCCATGGGCTACAGAATGGATGTTGTGTTAGCAGGCATGAAAACAACATTTATCTTGTTGTACATCTCTGTCAGAGCTCTTGGGTGACCAGGTGCATTGTCAATAAGCAGTCATATTTTGAAAGGATTTTTTTCTTGAGCAGTAATTCTCAACAGTGGGCTTAAAATAGTCAGTAAACCATGTTGTAAACAGATGTACTGTCATCCAGGCTTTATTGTTATACTTATAGAGCACAGGCAGAGTAGATTTAGCATGATTCTTAAGGGCCCTTGTACTTCTAGAATGGTAAATGAGCATTGGCTTCAACTTAAAGTCCCCAGCTTCATTAGCCCCTAACAAGAGAGTCAGCCTGTTCTTTGAAGCTTTGAAACCAGACATTGACTTCTCCTCTCTAGCTATGAAAGTCCTAGATGATATCTTCTTTCAATATAAGGCTGCTTTGTCTGCATTGAAAATCTGTTGTTTAGTGTAGCCACCGTCATTAGTTATCTTAGCTAGATCTTCTGGATACCTTGCTGCAGCTTCTACATCAGTACTTGGTGCATCTTGCACTTTTATGTTATGGAGATGGCTTTGTTCCTTAAATCTCATGAACCAACCTCTGATAGCTTCAAACTTTTCTCGTGCAGCTTCCTCACCTCTCTCAGTCTTCATAGAATTGAAAAAAGTTAAGGCCTTATTCTGGGTTAGGCTTTGGCTTAAGGAAATGTTGTGGCTGGTTTGCTCCTCTATCCAGACCACTAAAACTTTCTCCATGTCAGCAATAAGGCTGTTTTGCTTTCTTATCATTGTTTGTTCACTGGAGTAGCACTTTTAATTTCCTTCAAGAACTTTTCCTTTGCATTCGTAACTTGGCTAACTGTTTGGCACAGGAGGCCTCGCTTTTGGCCTATCTTCTCTTTCAACATGCCTTCCTCACTAAGCTTAATCATTTCTAGCTTTTGATTTAAAGTGAGAGATATGCGAATATTCCTTTTACTTGAACACTTAGAAGCCACCGTAGGATTATTAATTGGCCTAATTTCAGTATTGTTGTGCCTCAGGGAATAGGGAGGCCCAAGGAGAGGGAGAGAGATGGGGGAATGGGCAGTCAGTGGAGCAGTCAGAACACACAAAACATTTATCAATTAAGTTCGTCATCTTATATGGGCGTGGTTTGTAGCACCCCAAAACAATTACAATAGTAACATCAAAGATCACTGATTACAGATCATCATAACAAATATAATAATAATGAAAAGTTTGAAACATTGAGACAACTAGCAAAATGTGACCCAGAGACACGAAGTGAGAAAATGCTGTTGCAAAAATGGCACTGATAGACTCACTGTCACAGACTGGCCACAAACCTTTAATTTGTAAAGAACACAATATCTGCAAAGCTCATTAAAGTGAAGCACAATAAAGTGAGGTATGCCTACAGTGGTGAAAGAAAGCACTCTGTGAATACTCTAGTTTCTTTTCGATTCTGGCTTTGAAATGCCTCTTGGTATTTAGAATCCTTAAGAAATCCCAGTCTCCCTACAATAAATAATGATGTTAGATTGTTCCATAATAATCGCTATCTTCCCTGTAAGAAGATTATACTTCTGTACCATGTTTATATCATGTTTATCTATAGAAATCATTTAGCTTATGAAATTTGAGCAAACACTAGTATCCCACTTCTAAACAAATGCTTTAAGAACCATTATGTGCTTCTACAATTTCTTTTCTCCTTCTGCTACAAGAAAGGCATGTTCCAGAGAGGGGCCATGCCTTTGCCTAGGTTCCAGAATGAAGGCAGTGTGGAGCTGAGCCTGCAATAAACTTGTGAAGAACATTCATTGTTGTGTTAAGGCACTGAGAATTTTGGAGTTGTTTTTATGGCAGCATAACTTTATGGAAACTAACAAAAAAAGCTTATATTTTTTGTTTTTTTATCAATTTATAGCTACTTATTAGCAAATATTAATGAACATATTTATGCCATGAGATTTATTGATCGTTGAATCTAAAAGAAAACTGTTGTGGGAATCTGGAAGCCCTGGTTTTTACTATACATAAATCTGTGTCATTACAGTGTTCATACTGGTATCTGGTTATACTGGTTGTTATTTTTTTTTATATACACAATATGCTGTCAAACAGCAAGCTAGGTAAAGGAGAAATCAGTCTGTTTAATTTTTGGATATTTGAGCTTGTAAAATTGAAAGTAAATTTTGTTTAATTTTATGATTCTGGAAGTTATTTTTATTAATGATATTACAATGAAGTGTCATTACTTTGGTTGAATTAGGTCATTTTTAGACCCTCATTTCATGGTGTATTCATACAACAAATCAGGAACATTGAATTCAGATTCTTCATTTATAAAGGTAAGATTCGTTTTATGCTGTATATATTTACATTTTTTATGTGGTTAAGGTGCCATTAGCGGGAAGAAAAAGAATGCTTTATATTCCACATAACTGTTGGACAAACAGATCATAAACACAAATGTAATGTGGCAATTACTATGAAAGCATATTGAATAGAACAACTACTTTTTAAATTTGAAACTCAGGAGTCACTTATCCAAAAAGGTCACTTAAACTATCTGGAAGTATTAGTAGGAGTTTGAGAAGAAAAAAACAGTGAAGGAGGAAAGAGACCCCAAACACACTGAGAAATTTTAATTGAGATATCATAGGACCTGAGGAGTGGAGGAAATGATAGAAATTTCTGTATAGATAGATCACAGGGAAAGTGAGAATGAAAAAGCATATTGAGTACAGAATCAGAATAGGTTCACATGTGAAACATAGGAATTTGAATTGTATCCCAAAATGCCGATAGAAGTCAGGAAATTTTTAAAAGTATGTGACAAAGTTATCGTTAGTCTGTAAGATACTTATTTTGCCAGAACAGAAGATTCGGAAGAGGCAAATGCAAGTGATTTGTCAGCTTCTAGCGCTATATTGCTTTCTTATCATTCATGTGTTCACTAGAGTAGCGCTTTTAATTTCCTTCAAGAACTTTAATTTGCATTCACAACTTGGCTAATTGTTTGGTGCAAGAGGCCAAGCTTTTGACATTATCTCAGCTTTCGACATGCAATTGAGAGATAATGAAATTAAAAATATGGTAACTAGTACAACATTTGTCTTTCTCACCATCTACAAGTAGAAAGCAGAAAAAAATGCATGAGGCATCTGTTTTCAGACATTTGACAATAGGTGCTCAGAAATTTTCTCTCTGAGAGAAAGAAGGCACAGAAGGTGAGTCTCACATTTAACTTGGCCCTCTGACAGGGGATAATGCCTTAACTAAAGCATAGGGAGGTGGACTATGATTTTTCAAGCAGAACTCTCAGTTTGGAGTTCAGAGCTGCTGAAGCAACTGGAACTTGCGTGACATGGGACCAGAGATGAAGAGGGCCTATCAGATGTATGTTTTGGGGGGAAGAGGGGAGTTGTCCTTATGTCCTTGACTAAGGATTAGGCTATGTATGTGCTGGGTAAGACTCTACTTGAAGGGTAGAGAGTAAAATGAAGATGATACTAAAGGTCAAACAATGTTCGGAGATGTTGGATATCCAGCAAAGGCAGAGTAGAGTGACCTTGCTAAAAGGCCAGGCATTCAGCTGAGACCAGAAAGGCTAATCCTTAGGAGGAAGGATCAATCTGCATTCTCCACCCCAAAGCCTAAAACCCAGCAACAAGATTTTTGCATCTCTATTCATGAACAATATTGGCTTGTAGTTTTCTTTTCTTCTGGACTGTTTGTGTGGCTTTTGTATCAGGGTAATGCTGACCTCATAAAATGAGTTTGGAAGTGTTCCTTCCTCTTCAATTTTTTGAAAGAGTGTGTAAAAGATTGCTCTTAAGGATTCATCCTTACAACTTTTGTAGAAGCCATTTGATTTGGAGCTTCTCTTTTTTGGGAGGTTTTTGGTTACTTATTCAGTCTCCATACTAGTTACAAGTCTTTTCAGATTTTCTATTTCTTCATGATTCAGTCTTGGTAGGATGTATGTTTCTAGAAATTTATCCATTTTCTATAGTATCCAGTTGTTGGCATAGAATTGTTCATAGTACTTGCTTTGATACTTTTTATTTCTGTGACATCAGTTGTAATTTCTCTGCTTTTATTTCTGATTTTATCTATTTGAATCTCCTCTCTTTTTCTTAGTCTAGCTAGAGGATTGACAATTTTGTTTATCTTTTCAAAAAACCAACTTTTATTTTCGTGATTTTTTTCTATGTTCTACTTTATTTCTGCTCTAATCTTTGTTATTGCCTTATTTTTGCTACTTTGGGCTTAGTTTGTTCTTCTTTTCCCAGCTCTTTGAGGTGTGAAGTTTGTTTACTAATTTTAATCATCTTCTTTTTCTTCTTTAATGTATGTTTACAGCTATAAACTTACTCTTAGCTCTTCTTTAACTGGATCTTGTAAGTTTTGGTATGTTGTGTTTTCTCTTTCATTTGTCTTGAGATATTTTGTAATTTCCCTTTTTTTTCTTTGATTCAATTGTTGATCAAGAGTTTGTTGCTTAATTTCCAAATATTTGTGTATTTTTCACTTATCCTTCTTCTATCTTTGTTCACCTAAATAAAGAGGTAAACTGAGGCAAACTCAAAAAGGTGAGTTTATTTGGGAATTGCCAAGGAATAGCAATTTGGAACGAGCAAACTGTAGCAAGCTACAGTGAGTCTGTTGAGGGCTTGGGATAGATTGTAGTTATGGGCAGGGAATGTAAATTGGGAAGATTTCAGCTAGAGTCAGTTAAAATAAAAAACAAATGGAGAGCAGCCTTGAAAACTTCTTGAGCAGACAAAATCAGTCCAGTCACACAAAAAATTTCAATTCGGCTCACTTTGTGAAACCAACCCAACCTGGGTCATCTCTCATTCATGCTTCTGGCAAAACTTCCCATGGTTCATATGAGACAATCTCTGATCAATGCCCCATCATCAAAGAAAATTCCAACACCATCAGTTTTCTGTAAATCAGGCATTTATGGGAAATCAGTCTCTTAGTCCTTAAGTTTTATTTTCCTGAGGACACATGCATGAGATCCTCCGTTTTCTATCCTCTGGTTCTATTTTAGATTGAAGTTCTTTCACATTTTCCCCTTTTGATCAAGGTCTTTCACAGAAAGCATCACTGATCAATTATGTCATTCAGGTGTTATTTGTTAGTCTTTTTATTTAATTATGCCCCATGGAGCTGAGGAGGGTTGTCCTTAGGCGTTTATTTTCCATGAAACTGAGGCGGTCCATCCTCAGGTGTTTTGTCCCACAGAGCTGAGGCTGACCATCCTCAGGTGTCCTGTCTCATGGAGGAGAAAAGTGATATGCAACTTCATTGGTCTCATTTGAACAAGAAGAGGATTGAAAAATGAAGGATTTTAGTTATGTCCCTCTAAGGTGGATGGTTTAGTTTACATACATTTGGGAAAAGATATTTTTATCAAGACAAAAGAAAAACAAAGTTAATAGTTTAACCAAATTATAAATTCATTTTTTGAGTTTTGGAGAGCAGCCAATTGAGAAAATTTCTAGATGTGGAGTTTTAAGCATCCTCAGATGGACTAACGGCATGCAGTGGCAATCTGATAGATTTTTCTGGTTTGTATTTTGAATGCTCTGGTGCTCTTTACACGGCTGAGCTGTTGTGGTGATTTCTCTGACGTTTATATCAAGTTGTCCAGCTTTAGCTTGTACAGTCTTGGGAAAAGAAAAATTTTAGTTTCGTAGTGATTCCAAGTAAAAAGAGTGGGAGAAAACTGGAAATGTTAGTTTGGAGAGTTCTAGCCATATACTGGAGGAAATTAGAAGAACTTAAGATCCAATCTAGTTTACAGGTAGAAAACAAACCTCAAAAACATTTAATAGTACTAGAATCTGATATCCATAAGGTTGTATTATTGAAACATAATTTTCCACTTTATAATCATCCTCATTTCTACGAAAGATAACCCCGGAAAGACTAATTTCAATAAATCTGGCCTGATTGTTTATAGCAAGAATATTGATTGACCATATATGTCCTTTTAAATCTGCTTTCCTGAGATTTTTTTTTCATAAGGAATCTCAGATGAGACTTTTTTTTGTGTGTGTGAGGAAGATTAGCCCTGAGCTAACATCTGCTGCCAATCCCCCTCTTTTTGCTGAGGAAGACCGGCCCTGAGCTAACATCCGTGCCTATCTTCCTCTACTTTATATCTGGGACGCCTGCCACAGCATGTCTTGATAAGTGGTGCGTAGGTCCACACCCGGGATCTGAACCCACAAATCACAGGCCACTGAAGCAGAGCATGTGGACTTAACCACTATGCCACCAGGCCAGCCCCACAGATGGGAAAAAATAAATAAATAAATAAAAATTAAAAAAAAGAAAGCATGAGCAATAGCTCAGGGCACCTAATCAGCTTGTCTCTCATCAGCCTCTGCGTGGTTCTCCATGGCTACCCAAATCCTAATTCCCACCCATGACCACACCCATCAGCCTTTAATTTAGGAGAGGGCTTCTCCTTGAGTCCACTCTGTAATGTAACTCCTCCATGAGGATGTTTTATTTTTGTTTTTTAATGGATGTGTAAAATTTCTCCCATTAGTAATTATCTAGGTTGATTCTGATTGGAAACTATTATTAAAACCATACAATGAGAAAAAAAAAAAAAAGACTCTTTAGGCTAGAAAGCCTAGCCAAGGACTCATCTAATCATGTCCTATTACAAGGAGAAAAAGTTTTTATTGAACTTACGCAAATACATATATTGTAATGAAAAATAAGAATATTTAATAAGAGTTTCTAAATTCTGGAGGGATCAGGTAGGGAGCAAAAGATAAATGTTTAAAACTTTGTTGCAAAGATACATTTTACCAAGCTGCTGTAAGTTATAGATATCTTAAGAGAGGATAAAAAAGGTCCTTTAAATCTGGGAAACAAAACATTAAAAACTTGCACAGTTTTTAATGAAGTCATAAAAATTATAATCTTCTTCATCAGCTATCCGGTCTTATGTAATTAATTCTTGTTTTGCTTGATCTTGGGTTAGCAGCTTTATGATTCAATCAGTTTTCCATTAGAGTTTTAGAAATTCTTAACCAATTCAGTGATATGTTCTTAAAGTTATCAAAAACCTACATTCTAGAATACTTGTCAGGGTCTTTCCCATGAACTTCTCTGAAGATGAAACATATTTGCAAAATCATCAAAGTAAAACAATACCTGTCTGTAAATGACAAACAGCTTAGAAGTATCAATGATTAAAGATCAGATGAGAGTTCATTACAATGTAATTTACAAAGGAATTTGGTTATTTCTGTGACATACATTTTAAAATTATGAGACTTGCTTTGTTTCCCAACATATGGTCTATCTTTGAGAATGTTCTACGTGCACTTGAGAAGAATGTGTATTCTGCTGCTTTTGGATGGAATTTTCTCTGTATGTCTATTAAGTCCATCTGGTCTAATGTTATTAAAATGACAAAAAATAACGAGTGTTGGAGAAAAGAGAATCCTCATACACTGCTGGTGGGAATGCAAATGGGTGCAGCCACTATGGAAGACAGTATGGAGATTTCTCAAAAAATGAAAAATAGAAATACCATATGATCCAGCTATTCCACTCCTGAGTATTTATCCAAAGAACATAAAAACACTAATTCAAAAAGATATGTGTATCATTCTTCGCAACATTATTCACAATAGCCAAGACTTGGAAGCAACCCAAGTGCCCATCAATGGATGAATGGATAAAGAAGATGTGGTATATGTGTGTGTGTATATATACACACACACACACTCAATGGAATAAAAAAAGATAAAGCCATAAAAAAGATAAAATCATGCCATTTGCAACAACATGCATGGACCTTGAAGGTATTATGCTAAGCAAAATAAGTCAGACAGAGAAAGACAATGCTGCCATATGATTTCACTCAGATGTGGAAGATAAACAAACAAACACATAGATAAGGAGAACAGGTTAGTGGTTACCAGAGAGGAAGCACGTGGGGGGAGGGCAAAGAGGTAAAGGATCACATATGTATGGTGACAGATGGAAACTAGAGTATTGGTGCTGAACATGATGCAGAGTATATAGAAGCTGAAATATAATAATGTACACCTGAAATTTACACAACATTATAAACCAATGTGACCTCAAGCAAATAATAAAATAATAATAAAATAAAATAAAATAAAATAATGACTACTAACATTATACCAGGACATATCAGAATTTTAAGAATTTCATATAATTTTTGGAATATTTATAACATATAAATATAACATAAAGAAGGCTTAGTGTTACTTTTCATTTGATAATGCTTCCCATGTAATTTAATATACTAAATAAGCTTAATTAGTGAAATATACCTCTTTTCATATGGAGGGGAATTATTCATTTAATCAAAGTGACAATAAAATATTTCAAAGGCAAATATAGAAAGTTACATAGTTCTGAGCAAAATTTAGTTGTTAACATTGAGAAAACTAGGTTTACTTTTATGATCAAAGACCTGATGTTAAAGATAACATGGAAGACAAGAGATTATTTTGATAAAACTTAAAATGTTTGTTTTCCAGGCAGATTACTTAAAAGGTAAAGAAAAACCTTTTTTACAATTTCTTGTTAAGAATCAGACCAATAATCTAAGAAAACTTTCTCCTTTAATAGAGAGAAAACCAAATTCTAATTTTGCACCAGTGTGCTTTATTTATTTATTTATTTATTTTGAGGAAGATTGGCCCTGCCCTAACATCTGTCGCCAATCTTCATCTTTTTCTTTTTTCTCCCCAAAGCCCCAGTATACAGTCGTATATCATAGTTGTAGAGTTGTAGCTCTTCTATGTGGGACGCTGCCTCAGTATGACTTGATGAGCCGTTGAGTAGGTCCACACCCAGGATCTGAACTGGTGAACCCTGGGCTGCCGAAACAGAACCTGTCAACTTAACCGCTATGCCGCTGGGCCGGCCCCTGCACCGGTGTACTTTTAATATTAGAATTGTCCTCTTTTTTTTTTCTTTTTAACTTTAAATTCATTCCAATCTTAGTCAGCTTGACCACACATAAAATTCCTTTCTCAAGATTTCTTTTCCCCAAACCGTCTACAGCTGCTTCTATCTAGTTAGGCTTTGTCCTATCTCTTTCTTTTTTATTCTGGAACAATCATTTTACTTTAGGACAAAATTACTTTCTTTTTTTCCTTCAAGAAAAATGCATCTCTATTCCTCATACCTTGTTTTTTTTTTGGAATGTTGTTCATTTTTTATTCAATTTCTTTAATAGATATAGACCTATTCAGATTGTCTATTTCCTCTTGTGTGAGGTTTGCTAAATTGTGTCTTTCAAGTAATTGGGGAGAAGCAGACATCTGTGTTTTTTCCTGCTTTCTCTGTACTGGCCATGAGGGAGGATCAGTGGCATCTACTATCCCAAGCTGCTGCCTTTATTCTCCTCCAGACAACTAGATTGTGCCGGACCCATCAGTGCTCCAGGATTGGTGAGACAGATGCTAGTTCTTTGGGCATTTTTGGTGAAGTGGGGGCACCACAGGCATGGATCAACCCTTTCCTTTCCCAGAGGAACACAGAGAGATGGGACTTTTCATCCACTCACGCTGTGGTGAGTGAGGATGTAGTGGGGGTGGTCAATGGTGTCTACTATCAGAGACCACCACTTCTTTTGTTGTCTGGGTGGCTAGACTGTGCTGAACCCATCAGAACTCCAACACTGGTGACACAAATAATAGTTGTTTGGGTACACCCCTCTAGAAAAATTGGGGCACTGGACATGTGCCCCTTTCCTCCCCTATGTCAAGCTGGGAACTAGAGGGTCTCTTTCTGATCATAAGGCAGTGCTCTGAGACAGAGTCTCTGATGAAAGGGCATCCAAATTTCCCTACTGCCTTTGGTGAGTCTGATTTTGCATTCTCCCAGAGTGTGCAGAAGGCTTTCAATTAGTTTCTTATTTCTCACAAAGGGAATTTGTCTGTGAATTGTTGCTGAATTGTGTGTTTCTTGGGGGAGGGAGGGTCCAGGGCTTCCTACTTCACCATCTTCCTGACCAGAATTTCAGACTTTATTTCTTTGAATACTTTTCAAGCCCACATTCTTTCTGTTCTCCTTCTTGGGTTCTGATATGTAGTTAAATCTTTTGTAATTGTTCCACAGGTCCTTGAGGCTCTGTGCATTTTTTAGCTCATTTTTCTCTGTTTTATGTGTTGAGTAAATTCTATTATCTGTCCTCAAGTTCACTAATTCTATGCCTTGTCGTCTCCACTCTACTTTTGAGCCTATCAAGTGTATTGTTGTTTTGTTTATTATATTTTTCAGTTCTAATATTTTATTTTCTTTTATGGCTTCCATTTCTTTTCTGAGATTTTGTTTTTTCATTTGTTTCAAAATAATTTGTATTTTCATTGAAGCAGTTTTATCACAGCTGCTTTAAAATCTTTGTCTAATAATTCTAACATATGGTTCTTCTCAATATTGGCATCAGTTGGTCATTTTTTCTCATTCTTGTTGTGATTCTTTTGGTTCTTAGTGAGTGTATGATTTTAAATTATATCCTTGACATTTAAATCTTCTATTTTTAAGGCAGTCATATAGCTTAAGTTTAGATTTAGTGTGGTTTGTTGTTCCAATGACAATTTAGCTTTCTTGGGGCTTTAAATATTATTGTGTTGTGATTCATTCTTCTGGCTCTGCTGGAGCTCCTACTGAATCTCCACTGGTGCAGCCTGTAGTGATAAAAGGTACTTTCCAGGGCTACCTTGTGTTGCCAGGTGGGGTTGGGTATAAAGGATCCATGGGATGGAAAATATGTCATCTGTCTCCTTTCCATCCAGTGGATGTCAGTGTCCTTCTCACTCTATCTCTGCTAGTGCCCCTGGGTGAGGAAGTTCCTAACTGGGCCACGTTTTGCTGCTTGGAGTTGGAGGTATTGGGAATTATCTCATGAGGATCATTTTCTCCCACTGAGTACAAGGCCAGGAACTGCAGAGACTGAATTGCTCTCTGCTGCTGGGTTGAGGGTTGGAACCTGGTTTATTTTCTATCTCTTTGTGAAGGGCTTGGAGCTACAATGTCTGCTAGTACCAGTGCAGGTGGAGGTGGCTGCTGCTGTTGCTTGACGTGGAGTAGAGTATTCTCTGCCACTCTCAGTGGGTGGGGGATAGGAGTTAAGCCTAGTTTTGAGAAAAAGTGAACGGTTACTGATGGAGATGTATGTCTGAGAGCTAATAACATATAAACAAATTCATAGGAGAGAATGTGATAATATTAAAGTTCTCATAGCACAGGATTAACAAAGGAACAGGACTGATTCTACATATCATTAGACTCTTAAGGGCAGAGAAGGAAATAGTCACTGAAAGAGAATACTAGGGGAGACTCTGGGAAGACTAATGCTGTGACAGTCCATGTGCAGGAGAGTGGAACTAGGGATGACCAATATGGTGAGATACTAAAAAGAAATAAAAATGAGGAAATGTCATTTAAGATACTTTTGGGGAACAAAAAACAATTGAAATGTTCACAGTTGAAGTCAGATTAATACTGTTAATTACACTGAGTTAGCAGTTATAAACTATACATTTAAGCAATGTGGCTGAGAAAGAAAAGATGCAGAAAAGAAAGTTCTTTGCCAAAAATTTAGAATTATAGCAAGAATTATTTGGGGGAGGTTAGAGGTCATGATTATTCATAGGCTGAAGAGGGTTTAGAGGGAGAGATTGCAGGTAGATAACAAGGAAATGGAATATCTAGTGAATAATGTTATGGTAGTGGCTAAATCTGAATGTTTGATGATGTCTACAAAGTAAGGATAAAACCAAAAACTTTGTTTTCAAATCATTCATGAATGTGTCTTTATATACTCCTGTTTAGGGCCATTGCTTTCATCAAGGATATGCTGCAGAGATTCCAAAATCAGTTGTGACACTAAACACTTGTTCCGGACTCAGGTATTGGCATATGCAAGAGATGTACATGATTGAAAATCTTACGTAAGCTTTATTTTTAGAAACTTCTTAAAGGATAGAGTGCAGGCAAAGAAAATATAGACTTTGATTGTTGTCTTCTCATGTGCTTTGTTTTCCTCCTCTTCTTATCCTTTTTCATATTCTCTTTGTCTCTGTACCAGGCTTGCAGTTGTAAAATTTATTCAGAAAAACCTCCCACTAGTATGAAGAATATTCACATTTCTTAGCCACACTAGAACCACAGTCATGGCTAAATGCCATAATAGACAGAAGAAGGTATAAAATTGAGTCTGAAAGTTAATCCAAGTAACATGGGATGATTCTTAGAGATCAGACCACAAAGACCACTATCAAATTTCTATAAAATGTTATTATTTAATGTTGATTTACATTTCTCAGTGGGAAATCTATATTAATTACCTTTTCTTTTTTAATTTAAATATTCAGGGGATTATTGCAATTGGAAAATGTCAGTTATGGAATTGAACCATTGGAATCTGCAGCTACATATGAGCATATGCTTTATCAAATAAAGAATAATAAAATTGATTTTCCTCCCTTACGAAAAACTTATCGTTTGACCCAATTGGTAGATAAATCCTACAGGATCCTTGTGAAATCCGAAGTAAGTAACCCCTTTTATGAGATCTTCACTTGTGTTATATATATATATATATTTTTTTTTTTGGTGAGGAATATTTGCCCTGAGCTAATATCTGCGCCAGTCTTCCTCTATTTTGTATGTGGGTCGCTGCCATAGCATGGCTTGATGAGTGGTGTATGTCTGCGCCCGAGATCTGAACCCGCGAACCCAGGCCACCAAAGCAGAGCTCACCGGACTTAACCACTACACCACAGGGCCGGCCCCACTTGTGTTACTTTTTTTTTTTTTTTTTTGGGGGGATCAGCCCTGTGCTAACATCCGCCAATCCTCCTCTTTTTTTGCTGAGGAAGACGGCCCTGGGCTAACATCTGTGCCCATCTTCCTCCACCCTACATGGGACGCCGCCACAGCATGGCTTGCCAAGCAGTGCGTCGGTGCGCGCCCGGGATCCGAACCAGCGAACCCCGGGCCGCCGCAGTGGAGCGTGCGCACTCAACCGCTTGCGCCACCGGGCCGGCCCCCCCACTTGTGTTACTTTTGATAAACATATTCACAATGAAATGTGTCACATTTGGAAAACAAATTTAAACATATGTTGATCATATTAAAACCTTCTCTTGTAATATATTTATTTTAAATATATTTTTGTTTATTCACACACTATTTAGAAAATGCAATAGATATGAAGACACATAATTCAAAAACCACAATTCTCTAATTGTAAGTATTTTTATGTGTATATAGAGTTGCATTGTTACTGAATTTGCATCCTACTAGTATAGTGATACCCAAATTTGCTGATTATTACTGTGTCAGCATTTTCCTTGTCAATATATTTTTTTCCTTGTAAAAGTGTTATTTGAAGAGCAAATTTAAAAGTAGAAAAAAGGCAAGAAATTGTTTCAGATCTCCTTGGCTAGAGATAGTTCTCTTAGCATTTTCAAGTATTTGTTCCAGTTTTTTTAATATATCCAGTTATAAATGTATAGATTTTTTTAAAACAAAAAATGATCTAACCACATGTGCTTCTTTGACATTTTCTTTTTGCTATTAAGAGGATAATGTACATTTTTACTTATCATTAAATTATTTTACATTTGTCATTTTAAATTAATATTGGTTAACATCTGTTAAAATATTAAATATATACATATGTAAATGAAACAATAATGCTATTTTCTAGAGGTAAATGCTATTGTGGAATCCACTGCAATTATTTTGATGTATACTCTTTTATACTTTTTCATATATATATGTATGTATATATGCACAAACTTAAAATGTATATATTTTATAAAACTATGTCATATTTTACACATTTACATTTTTAATTTAATCAAGAAGTGAACTTCACAAGTGTACTCAATTTTTTTTTTTTTTTTTTAGTTATTTATTTTCCCCCCCAAAGCCCCAGTAGACAGTTGTATGTCATAGTTGCACATCCCTCTAGTTGCTGTATGTGGGACGCGGCCTCAG